CTGCTCCCCTCAGCAGTGTACTTCGTTGATCTGCCTGTTCTGTTCCCCACTCTGTCCCTGGTGAATTCTCTCACCCTCCGCATCTCTGGCCTGTACTCCAGCTCTGTATGAATAAATAACTAAAATCTTTAAAAAAAAAAGTGATGAAGTAATAAATTGGACTATATATAAAGGTCATTGTTGTACTATGAAGTTTGAATTTAAAACTAGTATTTCCCAACTCAGAAGTTCATGAAATAGTAAATTACTCAGGATGTTGATTATTGTCAGCATGGAAAAATTATCCTGTTCTAAAGTATATTTGAGCAGAGATAAGCAGGTTTATTTAATGTGGGTTAAATAGACTAATATTTAATGTGAACATATATGCTAATTCTCTAATATGCTAATGTGAACATATATGCTAATTCTCTAGAAACAAAATATGTAATATTACACAGACTTTTTTGACCACAAAAAGTTACTCCAAATTTCCTGGAAGTAGATAATGGGTATCATCAACCTCTAAATAGAGAGTAGAAATTGTCCATTTTTTACCTCTCACCCCACCTTCTCCTGCTGAAGGAAATCCAGCAGAACAAATCACAAGGACCTATGAGAGCAGAGGCACTTTCCAGGATCCATATCTGTAGAAACTGTGGTTGTTAGTCATCTTTCTGCTTGGCTTACAATAACAGTATAGAGGAACCTAAACTCTGTTTTTATACATGAGAGAGATAAGTATTTGTAGAGGAAAAAAACACTTAATTCTGAGTGCAAAAAGAACAGGAGACAGGTAATATTCTTCAAAGGCAGTACTACTGGCAGAATCTTTACAAGCGAGACTTATACTTTTTCCATTCTTTCTTGGTGATGCACAGCAACAATCAATGAGGGCAATCCAACTTCTCTTGCAAATTTAAGATTGTCAGTATCATCTTATCCTACCATTAGTTTCTGCTTCCTTCTTTCTCTTCTCAGCCCATGGCTTTTGGTTATTTTCTCACATATAGGGAAACTCATTGTGCAAACATGTAGCTGAGGTTGCTTATCACACAACTTCTTGGCTTGAGAGTTGGCATTTATTCTTTTACTTCTAGTTTTTCATTATGTAACTCATCTTCAGTTATTCAGCCACATCAGAATGCTTGTCTTTATCTGAATTTGGCATTTTTAATGAAAAAGGTACCTTAGACAAACATAAAATTTCTAAATGCCCTGTGTGATGTTAAATGTCAACATCTAAAATATGTTAAGTAGGGGGGATATGCAAGATGCCAAATGTTGAATGTAATTACTATGCTCCCATGAGTACCCTAAATAAAAGTATACTTTTAAGTTTATAATTGTACACAGAAATTTTCTTGGAAGATACACAGAATACATAATGCTGGCTATCATGGGGAAGCATACTGAGGGGTTCAAACTAGAAGGATTTACTAAATACATGATTACTACCACCCCTACCCCTACCCCCCAAGAAGAAAAAGGCAGCACCCAAAAAAAGGCAAAATAACAAACGTACTACTATAAGTTTGGTTTTTTGCTGTGAATAATGATTATTTGTTAGAATTGTTTATGGAGCTTTATATGTTTATGAAGAAATGTACTATTCAGGTGGTATATTAAGACCTTTCCAACTTAGTTTTGGTGATTGTCAATTTAGAACACTCTCAGCTTACATTAACATAAATATCAATAGGATGAGAAATATGTGTATTAACCTGATGAACACATTAAACATGGAAGTATTTTTTTTCTCAATTATAGGGGTTCCAATTTCATCTGCTGTTGCAGGTGTAGCAATAGGATTGGTCACCAAAAATAATCCTGACAAGGGTGAAATAGAAGACTATCGTTTGCTGACAGATATTCTGGCAAGTATATTCACATTTTAAAATACTTAATGGAGACAGTCATGCATACTTTACAAGCATCATATGCTTAGGAGAATATTAGTACTCAAGGAATAACTTTCCCCCTCTGCTTTTTTGCCTTGGATTTTATAGGATGTGATTTTAAAATATAAACAGTATGAATATCCATATTAGCTATTGTTTCTTATTGAATATTTGTATCTTAAGTCAAAAATTGAAACAATAGTTGTGTAGAAAGTTTTTCTTTGTGTTTGCTCTTAAAGGACAGAGCTTACTTTTTTTTTTTTTTTAAGATTTATTTATTTGTACAGAACTGGGGTACAGGCCAGAGATGCAGAGGGTGGGAGGATTCACCAGAGACAGAATGGGGAGCAGAACAGGCAGATCGACGAAGTACGCTGCTGAGGGCAGCAGCAGGCGGGTCAGAAGAGGTCTGCCACACCATGTGGTCACCTCCGGGGCAGGCGGGGATCGAACTCATGTGGAAGTGGCTTTGGCTTAGTGCAGTGCTTTAACTTGCTGCGCCACCAGGGAGGACCCGGACAGAGCTTACTTCTAAAGCTATTTTTTTCAACTCATCCACAATAGTCATGGGTGAATTTTATTATTGTTTAAAATTGTATCACAATTTCTGCCCAAAGGGAATTGAAGATTACAATGGTGACATGGATTTCAAAATAGCTGGCACTAATAAGGGAATAACTGCATTACAGGTATTTTTAAACCTATTTTGGTTTATTTTTATAATTAAATAATGTTATGAATCAGTACTTATGTAATTTTGGGCTTTTTTATATTAGGCTGATATTAAATTACCTGGAATACCATTAAAAATCGTGATGGAGGCCATTCAACAAGCCTCAGGTAAGCGAAACCAGGCATCCTTTCATCATTGCTCTTTCATCTTTACTTAGTTAATTGGAATAATATTCCATAAGGCCTATAAAAAATAGGTTTATTGAGGCCTCCATGGTGTAACGGCCTATATCATGAATATAGTATTATCGGGAACATGACTAAACACCAAAATTACAAATTACATAATTTTTTTTTATTTGTTAATTTATGTGTATTAAAACTGGAGTACAGGCGAGAAGTGTGGGGTGTGAGAGGATTTACCAGAGACAGAGTGGGGAGCAGAGTGGGGAGCAGAGACAGAGTGGGGAGCAGAACTGCTAAGGGGAATAGCGATTGAGACAGGAGAGGTCTGCTGTGCCATGTGGGTCACCCCCTAGCTAGGGATTGAACTCGTGCTGCAGTGGCTACGGATAGCTTAAATAGTGCTGCTCTTTAACCCGTTGCGCTACCAGGGAGGGCCCCAAGTTACGTAGTTTTAAGATAATAAATCTTACAGAGAAGGGACTATGAGTACAGCTGCCGAGGTAATCAGAATGTGAAGAGCTTTGATTATTAATCTGAAGAGTGTACACTGTACTCCATGAAAGCTAAAATGTTGCTATATCTGATCAAGTTTATATAGTTATAATTTTTGTTTTTATTTCTTCTAGTGGCAAAGAAGGAGATACTACAGATAATGAACAAAACTATTTCAAAACCTCGGTCATCTAGAAAAGAAAATGGACCTGTTGTAGGTAATACTCTTTTTTTTTTTTTTTTTTAAGATTTATTTATTTATGTATATAGAACTGGGGTATGGGCCAGAGGTGCAGGGGCGTTGAGAGAATTCATCAGAGACAAAGTGGGGAGCAGAACAGGCAGATTGACAAAGTACACTGCTGAGGGGAGCAGCATGCAGGTCAGGAGAGGTCTGCCTCACTATGTGGATCACCTCTGGGCCAGGGATTGAACTCGCACTGAAGTGGCCACCACCAGTACTGTGCTCCAATTGATTTCATGATAAATTAAGCGTAAGTATTTGAAAACTTATATTACTATTGTTAAAGATTTTTTAACTCCATACACAAAAATAATTTAAATACATTTGTAGTCAAAATACTTTAAATTTGGGGGGATAGGCCCTCCCTCATGGCGCAGCGGGTTAAAGCACAGTACAGAGAAGTTTAAGCCACTTCCTCATGAGTTCGATCCCCGCTTGCCACGGAGGAGATCCACATGGCGTGGCAGACCTCTCCTGACCCGCCCGCTGCTCCCCTCAGCAGTGTACTTTGTCAATCTGCCTGTTCTGCTCCCCACTCTGTCTCTGGTGAATTCTCTCACCCTCTGCATCTCTGGCCTGTACCCCAGTTCTGTATGAATAAATAAATAAATCTTTAAAATAAAAAAATTGGAAAAAAAAAAAATAAATAAATAATAAAAAAATTGGTGGGATATTCTGAGACAATACAGCTTTGCATAATTTTCATCAAATACCAAGCTTTTTCTGTTTCTCACAAGGTTTACATGTGTTTAGGCCAAAAAAAACTTGAGTGACATGTCATGTTTTAGGTTCATATATGTATTTAAATTTGTCTGCTTTACATTTCAGAAGCCGTTCAAGTTCCATTATCAAAAAGAGCCAAATTTATTGGACCAGGTGGATATCATTTAAAAAAACTTCAGGCCGAAACTGGTAAGAATTGTATGAATTTTGGAGGTTCTTTTTTTTTATTTAATGGTAGGCCATCTAAGTTTACCATTTCATCTCTATTATGTTGCTCCAAAAATATATTTGAGGAATGAAGGACCAAGAGAAAGGATTAAACATTGATGTGTCTACTGTACATTTTCTAGATGCCACTTAATAAATCAGCAGAGAGTCATCCCTAGCTATATTCAAGAAAACAATCTAGAATTCATCAGGATTTAGGTTAGCAGCATTTTAAAATCAAAAATCTAGAAAAATGTTTAGTTTTTTACTTTAGAAGAGTTTTGCTCTAATTTTCTCTTGCCATTATTTCTGCTATGTTCATTAAACTTCTATTTAAACTCTTTAAAATATGTGTGGAAATTATATGGTTTAAGCTTATTTTTCTCTGGAAGCAAATTTGGGGTTATATGACATAGTACTTACCAGCTTTGAGGTTATGATAGCAGAAAGTAGCAGAGGTGCGTTAGCTAAGAGCCATCTCTTAAGATCCAGAAACTGACATGATTTGATCCCTCATCATGTATTTGCTATAATAAAGGATAAGAGAGAAAGAGAGGAAAGAGTTCTAGTCAAGTTTCTACCCTTAATTATAAGAGTAAAACCAAACTCTAAAATTAGAATTTAATATGCTTTATTCCACCAGATCGTGAACTCCAAGAGAGTGGGATATTGGCTCACTGTTGTATCCTCAGGGCTTATCGCACATATATGCAGTGTGTATTTATTGATGAATCAACCCCTCATTCCTAAAGCAGTGATTACACAGAACAATCCAGCCCAGCTACCTTCAGGTCACTCTCCTGCACCCATTTTAAGACAAATCTAACTGAATGAGCAAATTAACCTTAATATGTTATATTATCTTTTTTAAAGGAGTAACTATTAGTCAGGTGGATGAAGAAACATTTTCTGTATTTGCACCAACACCTAGTGCTATGCATGAAGCAAGAGACTATATTAGTGAAATCTGCAAAGATGATGTAAGCATAGATCTTGTTATAGTTACATTTTTTTAATTGGTTGTTGGTTTTTTCTTTATTAATCTTATGACCTCTCTTATATTTACAGCAGGAGCAACAGTTAGAATTTGGAGCAGTTTATACTGCCACAATAACTGAAATCAGGTAACAGCAAGTAATATGCTATACTAGTTTTTAGAAGATTTATATTACAAGCCTGTGTCAACAGTTTACTTGCTGTGAATTATCAGGCATTTAGATTATATGTCACTTACCATATAATCATTATTTCTAAGCTCTTTAATAAGTTAGTATTTTACTTATCAGTTTAAATTTTCAGAATATAGCTGTGATTACAAACATACTATTAGAGCCTTCTAAATAACTGTTTCTAAATAGTTTTCTTTAACCAAACCATGTACCATTTTAATTTTCTCAATAAATAGTAAACAGTCCTCAGATAGATTTAGCAGTATTTCCTTTTTCTTGTTTTTGGTAGTTTCTTGTTGATTTGTTTTATTTATTTATTTGTAAAGATTTTATATATTTATGCATGTGGAAATGGGGTATAGGCCCCCAGGGGCAGTGAGAGAATTCACCAGAGACAGAGTGGAGGGCAGACAGGCAGATCGATGAAGTATACTGCTGAGAGGAGCAGTGAGCAAGGAGACAGGAGAGGTCTGCTGTGCCATGTGGATCACCTCTGGGGCAGGGTGCAAACTCCCACTGAAGTGGCCAAGACTTGGTTTTGCTTTGCAGTACAGCACTCCAACCCCGCGGGCCACCAGGGAGGGCCCAATGTTGCTGTGTTTTAAAGATAATACTACTTAATCTTTCATGCCTAAGAAGTTATTTTATTAAATGCCAGTTTCAACTTCACAACTTTTTTTTTTACCAACTAAAGAAATTGTTTTAGATTTTCAGAATTAGAAAAATCCTTTTTTTTTTTTTTTTAAAGATTTATTTATTCGTACAGAACTGGGGTACAGGCCAGAGATGCGGAGGGTGAGAGGATTCACCAGAGACAGAGTGGAGAGCAGAACAGGCAGATCGACAAGTACACTGCTGAGCGGAGCAGCGGGCGGGTCAGGAGAGGTCTGCCATGCCATGTGGATCTCCTCTGGGGCAGGCGGGATCGAACTCATGCGGAAGTGGCTTAAGCTTTGTGCTGTGCTTTAACCCACTGCGCCACAAGGGGGGGGCCGAAAAATCCTCCTTTTAAAAAAAAAATTGTCATCTGTAGCAAGAATCTCCCAAACTATTCAAAATGGAAAAAGCAATATGGGTATACTTTCAATTGAAAAAATAAATATTCTATTAAATAATCATATATTTGGGCCCTCCCTGGTGGTGCAACAGATTAAAATGCAGCACTACAAAGCAAGCCACATCCGCTTCAGCACAAGTTCAATTCCCCGGGCCAGGAATTTTGCTCCACATGGCACCGCAAACCTCTCCTGTCTTGCCTGCTGCTCCCCTCAGCAGTGTACTTCATCAATCTGTCTGTTCTGCACCCTGCTCTGTCTTTGGTGAAGTCTTTCACTGTCCCTGTACCCTTGGCCTGTACCCCAGTTCTTACACATAAATAAATCTTTAAAAATAATTTTAAAATAAATGTATATTTTAATTATTATAAATATAATTATTATAAATAAGGGCTTTTTGATTGTTTTTTATTACTTTGTTCTTGTATAAAAATATAATCACAGTTTTATTAGTAGTAGATACTTATTATTCTAACCAGGCTTATTTCCTTTTTCTAGAGACTCTGGAGTAATGGTTAAACTGTATCCAAATATGACAGCAGTACTACTTCATAACACACAACTTGATCAACGAAAGGTAAAAAATAAGGTTTATTTTTTAGGCTGCCTTAAAATAACCACAATAAAATTACTTAGATGACTAGGATTATACATTTTGTCAACTATTAGCCTAATACAAAAAAAACAAATAAGCCAGGTGCTGCTGACAAGTTTTACAGTGATGACCACAGATACTTATAATTTCCCTTTTATGATGAAATTAAATTTTGAATTAGAATAACTAGTAACATCTAGAGTTCACACATAGTAGTTACTAAAAATATTTAGCTATAAAACCTGTTTTCTCAATTTTCTTGACCAGCCAGTCACAGCTGGGTAATTCTTGGGATGTTTTAAATTTATTTAACCTTTGTTATAGTTCATGTATTTGGAAGACTAAAATATGAGACTATTCAAGAAGGTTAAGGGGACTAGAAAGAGTGTCTGTTTGGCCATATGTTAAAATACAAAGCTATAGAAAGTTGAACTGTTATTACTAGCTCTTAATAAACAATCCATGCAACAGAAAAGAGACCAGAAATAAGCCAATTAATATACATGTGAATCTACATGCTAAAAGTTACATTTTCAGTGAGTGAAGCAGAAAAAATTACACAGTTGTATTGATTATAATACAGTTGGTTATAATAAAGAATGATCTGGATTAAGGAACTGAATGTCAAAAAAAAATTTTTAAGATAGGTGAGGGGAAGAAAAGGAAAACCTGGGTTATGAGGGCAATAGTAGGGAATTTGGAGATTGAGAGAGGACACTAGAGGAAAATATGGATATTTAATAATCTTTGGATTTAGGAAATTGTTCTCAGCATAAAAAATCTCTCAAAAATATTAGCAAGTTGATAAAATTTGGTCTCATAGTTTTGTAAATTACATAGCAAATTATAATATAGTTGAAAGACAAGTGGCAACTTAGGAGAAAAACCCACATCATGCCGGAAGCTTGATATGTATAGGGTATTTGGAGAACAATAAGAAAAATAAATGCCAATGTGAAAATGGAGAAAGTGCACAAACAAATAAGCTTTTTCTTTGTCTTTTTTTAAAGATTAATTTATTTATGCATACAGAGCTAGGGTACACATCAAAGTTGCAGGGTGGTGAGAGGAATCACCAGAGACAGAGTGGGGAACTGAACAGGCAGATGGACTGAATACACCTCTGAGGGGAGCAGTGGGTGGGTCGGGAGAGGTCTGCTGCACCTTGTGAGTTGGGCAGCGATCAAATTCATGTTGAAGTGCCTTTAGCTTCTCAGGGCTGTTCTTGAACCCACTGCGCCAGCAGGGAGGGCCAGCTTTTTCTTTTTTAAATGAACATAGATATTCAGCTGCAACAATTGTTTTAATACAAATGAAACTAAGATACTATTTATAAACTATCACTCACTTAGCCAAGTGTAAAGAAAAAAAATGGACATTCTCATACCCTATTAAAAGGAGTGTAAATTGGGACAAATTTTTGGAGACTGGTAACTGTGTGTGAATACAGTACATATTTGAGGACTTTGTGCAACACTGAAATATATTTTTTCTCAACATTTTAGAAAATTTTCACCCTATAGTAAAATTGAAACCTAGTACGCTGACTCACCAATATACCTTTCATCTCAATTTTCCAGTTATAACACTTCACAGCATTAGAATGTAAAACACATTGACCATCTTTAGGGGATTATTAAAACAAATTTTATAGTTTGGATACTCAAGTTATTTTTCATTTACTGAAATAAAGACTTTCCTCCACATATTATTGGATGAAAAATTGACACATTATAAATCAGTAACTTGAGAAAGGGCCACTTTTATGAGTGCAGTGTATACCATACTAAATAGATATTTGAGGTAGTTATCTTTAAGTCATGCAGTTATGGATAATTTTTACTATCATCTGAATATTTCTGTATTATTTCAAATCCTTAGCATTAACACATTTCATAATCGACAAAACCATTAAAACTTTCCTACTTAAAAAAAAACTTCTATTCACTTCTCCAAAGAGGAAATGCAGATGGCCAACAGGCATATGAAAAAATGTTCAACATCACTCGTCATAAGGGAGATGCAAATTAAAACCACAATGAGATACCACCTCACCCCAGTGAGAATGGCACATCTTCAAACAACTAG